CTCTCATTGATCCTGGGGAACACAGAATGGCAAGCACTAGTTAAAGTTAATTGGGAAATCTCTGTCTTTTCTTTACACAATAAAACAAGGTGTCAGGTCTCCCCCTCAGGTGACATTTGCCCCCGACAGGAAGAAAATTACTGGAATCAGACTGCAAAAGCTGCCACCTCTCTTTTACTTCTTAAGAACATAAGAATATAAGAACAGTCATACTATCCAGCCCAGTATCCTGTCTGCCAACAGTGGCCAATAAGATGCCCCAGAAAGAGGGAATATAACAGGTAATCCTCATGTGATCCCTCCCCTGTCACCCACCTCCAGAGAAACAGAGGCTAGGGACACCATTCCTACCCATACTAGCTAATAGCCATTGATGGACCTAACTTCCATGAATCTATCTAGCTCTTTTTTGAACCCTGTTAAAGTCCTAGCCTTCACCAGGTCCTCTAGCAAGGACAGGTTGACTGTGCACTGAGTCAAGAAAAACTTCTTTTTTGTTTTAAACCTACTGCCTATTAATTTCATTTGGTGACTCCCTAGTTCTTATACTGTGGGAATAAGTAAAGAACTTTTACTTATTCACTTTTTCCATACCAGACATGATTTTATAGACCTCTATCATAGGCCTGCACAACATGCGGCATGCAGGGGCTCACTGTGTGGCCCGTGACGACTACGGGCGGCGCGGCCCCATCCGATCTGCCGGCTGGGCGGAGGAGCGGAGCGCCACCGGGGAGGGGGAAGTGCGGTGATTCTTGCCACCGGGCTGCCTGCATGCAGCTCCAGTGTGAGGAGGCTGGGCATGAGCCAGAGGGCAGGACACTAGCAGACACCAGGATGCTGGCGTGACGTGGTGTTGTGACGTCATGGTCCACGACCACTGGATTCAAAAATGCTCTGGCAGCCCCGCAAACTGGAAGGCAGTAGCCAGGTAGGGGAGGGAAAGGGGCTTGTGCTGAGGGGAGGAGGGCAGGTCAGGAGAAAGGGGAAGGCACCAAGGGACAGGGTGCAGGAGAGACAAATGCCAGGGGGCCAAGTGGAGACAATGAGGAAAAGGGCAGGAGAGGAGGTGTCAATGGGAGGGGGGACAGGGTGATGCTGGGAGAGGAGAGGGTAAGGGCATTGGGAGCCATATGTTGTGCAGGCCTGATTTAACTGAAAAATTCTTAATAAAGTATCACCCCCCCTCCCAAACCTACCCTTGCGGCTAGGGTTGCCAGGTGTCTGGTTTTCTACTGGACAGTCCGGTATTTGCTCTCTCTGCCCGGTAAAAAAATTCAGGAAATATCAGACATGTACAATGTCCGGTATTTTCTGAATTTCCAGCTTGGCACTGATGGAAACCTGGTAGCACCCATTGAAGCCGGGTGCTGTGGTGTTTTTTGTTGTATGCCTGACACGCGTGGTGGTTTTTTTTTTGCTCAACAAAAATTTTAGCCCGCGTGTTTGGTATTTTTTTGGGAGAGCACCTGGCAACCCTACTTGCGGCCTGCAGCTGTTTTCTTTAGAGTAATATGGCCCTCGCCACTTTCTGAGTTGTGCAGGCCTGCTCTATCATATCCTCCCTTAGTCTCCTCTTTTCTAAGCTGAAAAGTCCAAGTCTTTTTAATCTCTCTTCATATGGGACCCATTCTAAACCCCAAATAATTTTTGTTGCTCTTTTCTGAACCTTTTCCAATGCCAGTATATCTTTTTTAAGATGAGGCGACCACATCTGTACGTAGTATTCAATACATGGACGTACCATGGTTTTATACAGAGGCAATAAGATGTTTTCTGTCTTATTCGCTATCCCATTTTTTAATGATTCCTACTGGTTTTTTTGACTGCTGTTGCACACTGAGTGGATTGTTCACACAAACATGTTGATTGTTTCAACAGCAGTAAGTACCTCAGACAAGGAATAAGAATTACCAAGGGACATGGATGCTGTCAGTAAAATACAGGCTGGTTGCTGCTTTAACAACAATAGCACCTGTTCAGCTCACAGAACTAAGAATGCAAAATGTCCCACTGAGACAGCACGGTGGTGCCAGCTTTATGTGCCAGACTGGCAGACCCAATTCCCCAGGGGTGAAGGAACAAAATCCCCAGCCCTATCCTACCAATACCTCCTTTCCTCCTCACCACCATGTGCCTCCTCCTCTGCTCCCCCTTTCCTTCTTCCACACCTTTCTGTCCCCAGGCTCCCACTGCTCAAGCTCACTACCCTCCCCATCAAGTGCTCTCCCTGCCCTGCCCATCACAGAACTTGAACTATTAAAAAAACCTAATTGCTCTGGTCCAAGCTACTAATTACCTATGGGAACGCTCTGAAGAGCTCTGGCACAGGTGGAAGGGGAATCCATTCCTCCTGGCCATTTATTGTTCCGCCTATTAGCTGGCCCTGGGCCTGAGAATAAACTAGCACAGGGTGCCTGCTGCCACAAATGACCCAGCACTTCCTGCTGCATACACACAGCATAACGCTGTCTGGCCTACTTGCATCTTTGTCTAGACCTCTGAAAAGTGATGGTAAGGGGAGGCCCCTGCCTCTTCTAACAAACTGCTGCATCATCACATAGTGAGAGAATGATTTATCCCATAAAGTCCAAAACTGAAATTCTCCTGTAGCCCAGGAGGAGTGCCTATGGCATGAATGAAGCAGAAAGGTTTTGGAATTGTAAAAAACACTTTGGAAAACTGCACTTCCAAGCACTTTCCATCTGATAACCTCAAAGCACCTAACCACAACCAATGAATTTACACAAACTCCTGTGAGGCATGCAGGTACTATTATCTGTTGTTTTTTCAGATGGAGAAACTGAGGTTTGGGCTAATTAAGTTCCTTATCTGTAGGGTTTTTTTTTTAAATTAGTGGAAAAACTTCCTTTGAGATCAAGTCTTAAATGAGAGGTCCAGTGTTACTGGAAGTCTGTAATAGGAGGACCATTAAGAAAACCCCAGATCTTCACATTTCTTGCAGTGGGGAGCACAGGCCACTGGCTGCACCGAGTTGGGGAAGTCAATCTGCAATTCCCATCTATCCCAGTACAGGATCTTACCAGTGAGGCTACACCTGACCCTGACACAATGTAAGGGCTTGTCCTGCCCTTCTGTGTTAGGAGTACCAGGCTCAGCCCAGCATGATCCAAGTGTAGAGGGGCCTAGTGTGGAGGGGATCTAGGTGTGAGGCAATCTGGGTGTGGGTGGATCAGTGGGGATCTGGATGCACAGGGGCTTGTTGGGGGCATTGGGATTCATGATAATGGAAGAAGAGGTGGGGCTTGGTGCTGGGGAAATGGGGCATGATGGGGTGAGGGTCCAGGTGAGTCTTACTGGGGCTTTGTGGGGTGGAAGTCAGTGTGTGTGGGGGGGTCTCGTCAGATAGGTCTAGGTACAGGGGAGAAGGGCTTGTCAGGGTGAGGGTTTGATGGGCCTGCTTAACTGGAGAGCCCCAGCTCTTGCTGAGGGGACACTGCATGACAGACTCCTGCTTTCCCTGAAATTACCCTATCCCCTTTTCTTCTGTGTGTGCTGGGAAGGAAGTCTTCCTGTTTTCTGTGCCTGCAGTGGAGCTGGGTAAGGGCGCTGGCATGAGGGAAATGAGAGAAGAAGGATTAGAAAGTGGGGGGAAGAGGCAATGGTGGAGGAACAGGGAGTGGGTTAGGGGAATCATGGGGGAAGCGTGAGTCCAGCATGCAGTGTCCCTTCAGCAGCATCTGGGGCTCTCTAGTTAAGCAAGCCATCAAACCCTCACCCTGACAAGTCCATATTTTTACTCTGGGATGCCCATGCCTGGCAGTCTCTTTTCATCTTATCAAAAAGGGATTAAAACAAATTTACAATAAGCATAGGAAATATGTACATGAAAGGAGCTCCCCAGAGATGGTTAATTGAAATGAACAGAACTAACAAGAAAACAAAAACGGGAAAGAAATCACATCTGGTGTCATATCTTCAGTAGCTACTATGGAAAAAAGCACTGTTCTCTTAACCATGCCACTTTAAACTGACTTTGAGAAGTCTGTAGATTAGTAAATGGGAGATTTTAAAAACTGAACATGTAACCTGGTGTTCTGCACTGCCCTATGTGAGATCCAAGTTTGATTCTCAGTGAGGGATGAAATTTGGGTCCCCAATGAAATCAGTGTAAATGTTTTCCACAGGGGCAAGGTTTCACCCTTGGTTTCTAATTCTCTCAGCTAGCAAAGGCTAGATGGGCCAAAGAAGCAGCACAATTAACTGTTAGAAAAGGATGGACTAAAATCTGACTTGTTAAAATAAAATTGTTGATGATCTACTACAAGAGAGTCTTTGTATTCTCAACTACAAAAATCAGACCATCAAGGTGAGGGACTCATTCTGCAACCCCCACATGTGATTTTGGAAAAAACAGAAACAAATATTCATCATCAAGAAACATATTCACTGCAGGGAATTCCAGAGCTCACAATGTCTATCTATAGGGAGATTTCAAATTTTGGAAAATGTATGCAGTTATCTAAATCCGTGGTCCCCAACACGGTGCCCGCGGGCGCCATGGGCTTTTGGGGGGAGCGCGCTTGGCGGGGGGAGCGCCGGGCGCGCGGCACTCGGCGGGAGGGGGGGAG